AATGGTCTCCAGGTTTCTTACTGCTATAAATATAGCTTCCTTCATTCAAAGGCTACTCCCAGCCTCTATCTTGGCCCTATTCCAACCTCCCGCCATTCCACACCTGTCTCGGCCAACTTCTTTCCCTTCCTCTGCCTCTGCCTGTGGAAATCCTGACCATCCTGGACTGATTGCAAAGTTATCTACTCCAGAATGTGCCATAGGACACATTAGTGAGCAAAAGCAGAGGTGTGAGTGAGCGGTGCTACACTTTGTGGAGAAAATATAGAGGCACACTTCCTTGTATATGCCTAATGTTTCTAGCAGGATACCGCAGAAGTCCAAACTGTCAGAAAGGAGAGGACCTGGATGGATGGGAAGTGTGAGACCTCCAACAATGCTCCTTTTTCAAGATTGTTTTGACTATCTGGGACCCCTTGAGGGTCCATATGAATTTTAGGATAGACTGTTTATTTCTGCAAAGAAGTGGTTGGGAATCTTTTTTTCAGTGCTGGAGATGAAACCCAGGCCCTTGCTAGGCAGGAGACCTACATGGAGCTACACCCCCAGCACTTTCTGTGGCATCTTTAAAAGGGTTATTTTCATAGAAGATCATGTTGTCTGTGAACAGAGATAATTTTATTTCCTTTTTTTCAATTAGGATGCCTTATATCTCTTTATCTTGTCTACTTGCTCTGGCGAGGACACCTATAAGAGTGGTGGGAGCAGGCATCCTTGTCTTGTTCCTGATTTTAGGAAAAAAGTCTTCTTACTTTTAAACTATAGGAATGTTTCACCTGGGGCTGGAGTTGTGGCTCAGTGGTAGAGCACTCGCCTAGCATGCATGAGGCACGGGATTCAATCCTCAGCACCACATTAAAAATAAAGTAAAGATATTTAAAAAAGGAATATTTCACCTGCTCAAAATAAATTTAAATACGCTTTTTAATTTTTTTTTAATTTTAGATATTCATGGACCTTTATTTATTTATTTATTTATATGCAGTGCCGAGAATCGAACCCAGTGCCTCACACATGATAGGCAAGCACTCCACCACTGAGCCATACATAACTCCAGCCCCTTAAATATACTTTTTATCTAGTAGCTTCCCATTGCCCATAGTAGAAGCAGCCTCTGTATTATCTGGGTACTGCACAGGTCTGTGTTTATAGAGTACCTGCCCTGTTTATCTCTCAGGCTTTTTTTCCCCTCCCAGTACTTGGGATTGAACCCAGGGCCTGTACATGTTAGATGAGCTGCTACCACCAAGGTGCACTCTAGCCCCTTCACTTAATAGTTTCTGGTGCCATGGCCTAATAGGCACTAGAAGAAACCATAAGATCTGCACCCATGTGGCTTATGGGCATCTGGGAGAGACAGTGGTGGTGAGCCCAGGCATGTTCTGAGCCATACCCACTGGAAGGCATTGTGATCTGTGTAGTTACCCTTTCTGAACTGTCTAGCAGGCCAAAGGCCAGGCCCTAGCTGCCCTGACTCACCTTGACCAAAGCCTGTCTGGTTGGCCAAGGTTGGGGTGGAAATCTATTCTGGTATGAGGCGCCGCATGAATTAGAGGAAGAAACCAGGACAAATTAGATAGGCTGTTTGTTAGATCGCATGAGATACCTATGCCAAATCAAGATCAAAGACGTGGGATCTGGGGTGTGATCAGTAGTAAGGCAATTGTCCTGCATGCACGAGGCCAGGTTCCAACCCAGCAACACACACATACAAATACGGAAGATAAAAAAAAGTAAAGGATCCCACAGAAGGATTACTTACTCAATGCCTACTAGAAGAAGGCAGGAACAGACAGCTCTTCCCCAAAGAGATTAAAAGAAAAAAGGGAAAAAATAATGCAGCACACAAAGGAGCCAAATAAAAAAGCAAACTATATATGGCATTTGTTATGTGTCCAGGGTGCTCTGATCATGTTACGTCCATCAGCTCACTCGACCCTCCTGAGAACCCTGTGAGCTGGGCAAGGAGCTTATGGAAGCTCCACAAAACAGAAGCAGAAAAATAGGGTGTGATCTGTCCTCAGGGCAACACAGTACCACAGCCTTGGGTGGCAGGGACAGGAGAGGCCTGAGATTTCTGCAGTCAGGTGAGAGGGCTAGGAAGACTGTCTTGGAAATGTTGGCAGATGGGCACATTGCGGTTAGAAGAGTTTGGAAGCCAGCACTGATCTTTAACTCTGCAGGTAATTTAAGCTAAGTCCCTTTGGGGAAGAGATGACTTACTGGTGACTGTTTCCAGGCCTGTTAGGAAAGAAGGACTACTTCTAGGTGGATAAAGAGAGATGGTTTGTGTGGTGGTGCTTGCCTGTAATCCCAGGGACTCCAGAGGCTGAGGCAGGAAGATCCCAAGTTCCCAGCCTTAGCAATGTAGCAAGGCCCTAAGCAACTTAGACTCTGTCTCAAAATAAAAAATGAAAAGGGCTTGGGATATAGCTCCGTGGTAAAGCAACCCTGGGTTCAATCCCTAGTACCAAAAAAAAAAAAAAAACAAGAGAGATAGCCAAGTGTAGGCACATGACTCATACCTGAAGTCCCAGGTACTTGGAAGGCTGAAGCAAGAGGACTGCTGGAGCCTAGGAATTCCAGACCAGTCTGGACAACACAGGGAGACCCTGTCTCAAAAGAAGAAAAGAAAGAAAGAAAGAGAAAGAATGAGATATCAAAAGAGAGCTTGTTATGGCTTGTAATTTTTCTAAAGGAAAACCAAGCGTAATGATTCAACTTTATTTATTTATTTATTTGTGGGTGGTGGTACTGGGGATTGAACCCAGCGGTATTCTGCCACTGAGCTACATCCCTGGCCCTTTTTATTTTGAGATAAGGTCTCACTAAGTTGCCCAGGCTGGCCTTGAACTTGTGAATCTCCTGCCTCAGCCTCCTGAGTAGCTGAGATTACAGAAGTGTGACACTGCACCTGGATGAAATTTTTTTTTTTTTTGGGATAAGGAATGAAATTCAGTGGGGACATGTTCATAAATGTTGTGATAACTTCTATAACTTGCTTATCCTTATAAACTTCCTGGGAGATTGCTATTTATCTCCTGTGACTTTGACCCTGGCAAAGAGGCTCAGGAATTATTTCCCTTTACAGGCTCAGAAAGCTAATTTACTTGCCCTAAGATCTGTTTTTTGTTTTAATATATTTGGTTGTAGATGGAAACGATACCTTTATTTTACTTATTTATTTTTTTGTAGTGCTGAGGATGGAACCCAATGACTCACATATTCTAGGCAAGTGCTCTATCACTGAGCTGCAGCCCCAGCTCCTAAGGTCTGTTTGATTCAGAAGGCTCCCCTTAATACTAAACACTCATAAGTTTCCGCCTCTGAATTAATCACATTTTCCTCTTCCCCTCCCCCGCCCTGTACTGGAGGGGTGCTCTACAACTGAACTACATCTCCAGCCCTTTATATTTTTTATTTTGAGATAGGGTCTCACTAAGTTACCCAGGCTGGCCTTGAACTTGTGATCCTCCTGCCTCAGCCTCCCAAGTATGGCCAGGTATGAGCCACTGTGTCAGTTATGAGCCACTGTGTCAGGCAATCATATTTTTCTCAGGGTTTAATTGTCCTCCTTTCTCATTTCTGCATTCTCTTTTGGGTTTCCCTAGAATCCTCCTGAGAGGTTCCCACCCCTGCTATAAACAGTTTGCAAAACCCCAGAACACTGGCTCATTCCCTGAGGATTCCTCCCAGCCTGTTAGATCCTTTGTGGGGGTACAGGCAAGTTTCTCATTGGTGCCTTTTAATTTTTTTTTTTCCAGTGCTGGGGATGGAACCCAGGGCCTCACACATGCTAGGCAAATGTTCCACCACTACATCCCCAGCCCCACAGGCACCTTTTTAGCAGATGGCCTCTGGACACCCCATTATTCCAAAAAGATCTGGGTGTGGTAACACTTGCCTATAATCCCAGCGGCTCAGGAAGCTGAAGCAGGAAGATTGCAAGTTCAAAGCCAGCCTCAGCAACTTAGCAAGACAACTCAGCGAGACACTGTCTCTAAATAAAATATAAAAAAGGGTTGGGGAGGGCTGGGAATATAGCTCAGTTAGTAGAGTGCTTGCCTTGCACACAGGACCTGTATTCAATCCCCACCATCATACACACACACACAAACACACACACACACACACACACACACACACACACGGCTGAGGATATGGCTCAGTGGTTAAGTGCCTCTGGGTTCAATCCTGGGCACAAAAATAAATAAATAAATAAATAAATATTCCAAAAAAAGACTCCTTGATTCTTCAAAGTTACTTTCCATCAGCCAGCTGTGGTGAAGGCTCTCAGGCTTCACTATGAAAGCCCTATTCCCTGTTTGGTTCTAATTTGGCTTTGAGGAAAGGAAACCATCCTCTGTTTGTTTAACTCTGCCCTAAAATCAATATTTCTATCCAGACCCCAGGTATTGGGCTAATTGATTTTTGAGATGTTTTTGGTCATAATTTATCCAAGTGCTAGCTAGATAAAACAAAATAATGTTTTGTCTGTACTTTCCTGAAAGTTTATTTAAATTCCTAATTACTGTTTATAAGGCGATTTGGAATATCCATCAAAAACTATATGCAACTAAACTTAGAAATCCACACACAATTGCTAGAAAGGAAAGGGCAAATACAGAAAGGATAAAAGAGGAAAGGAAGTTTCCAATATTTCTATTTTCCTTTTGCGGCAGAAAGGAGATCCTCGTTAGACCATGGGAGCATTTCAAAGGATGAAGATTATTCTTTGGGAATGAAAAAGAAACGTGGCAGTTTCAAAAGTTGAGACATTTCAAGGAATCTTTCAAAAGATGCATTTCAACTGAGGGGGGGAAATCTACTCTTCACGGAGGACTAAATCAAGCCCCTGTTTTGGAGCAGCTTTGAAAGAACTGGAATCCAAGTCAGGGCTTCACGGGTTAAAAAGCCGATGTCACATCGGCCGTTCGAAGCTCCTCCTCCGCAGTGAGGTGAAGAGTTTTGAAAATCACCCCACTGCAAACTCCTCCCCCTACTAGAAACCTCACATAGAAATGCTGCAAATGACTCTAGCCCCGCGTGTAGTCGCCGCTGAGCTGCTCGAAGCCTTGGTTTCCAGCAGGGATACTGAGGGGTTGTAGCCGGGCGGAGACACTGTAGGTGGACGCTGTGAACATGAGGACCGCCGACTGGGGGCTGCACTGGGCTGTCGCACTACTCTTCGCTGCGGTGGGGGCTAAAGGTAAGGCTTGCTCCAGGATCCCCTGCGGGGTAAAGGCAGCCCACTGATCTCCGGGAGCCTTTTGGTAATTTAGAAGTGAGGAGCGAAAGAGAATCACTCCTTGCTTGGGAGACTTGTGGGTACATGGCACAAGGATCCTCCCAAGCGGCTGGAGAGAATACTCATGGGAGGGAGGAGCAAGGATTGTGGGAGTCACTGTAGGCTCAGCGGAAACCTAGCTCGACTATTCCAAGTCTCCGCCAGGGAAGGGGCCACCGCAAATTCCTCAGAGTGGGTGTAGGGACATCCAGGCCTAAATGTTGAGATTTCCACCCCCCATGCTTGGGGCAAGGGTGACTCGAAGCCCCACTGCCCAACTTGGAGGCCTGGTATACTCTTTCACCTCTGCCCACAGGCAGTAGGGTCCAGATGGGCTTTGTGCCGGCTGGAACTCTTGTAACCTCCCATGCTCCCAGCGCGGGATAGCCCAGGGGTACCGCCCCAAGCCCCGCCTCCAGGACCCGCCCCCAGGCTCCCATTGGGTGCAGTCTGAACAGGCGAGCCTCGAGCCACTCCCCTTGTCCAACGGGAGTCAGAGGCGGATGTGTAAGGCATGGCTTGTGAATACGCAGGGCTGGACTGGCGTGGTACCCCGGGCAGGCTGAGTCCTGTCACAAAGGAGGCCACCCGTTCTGAAGCTGCTTCCGGGAGCATGGAAAGGACCCGCTAAGCACGTCTGGGCAGAGGCTGCAGTTTCTTCTCCAGCTCCACCTTTTTCTTCACCTCCCCGTCAATTACACAGATGTGGCCCAGGCCACCCTTAGACCTCAGGGCTGAAATGTTACCTTAGAAACTCCCATTGCTCCTTGGTCCAAACCTGAGACTTGCAGCCAGGGTGGGGCGGGGACCACACCCTTTAGGGTGGCCGAGTTGCCCACGTGGCGATTTTTCCTTTTAGGAGGGCAAGTTTGAATTTAGATTTGGCCAAGAGGCCAGTTGGTACAAGATCCCGAGTTACGGCTTTCTTAGATGGCTTTAAATTAGCTTCCTAGAGGCAGTCGGCGCTGCTTTAGGCAAGAGCTAAATGGTCTTTTTCCTACTCAGAACCGCTTAAACTTATGAAAGGACAGGCAATGCCTGAGCAACCATGTAGAAAAAGGTTTTGTTGTTTTACTGGCTGGCGTTTGGCTTCGGAGGAAGAATTCTGAATGTCTTGTCTTGAAATTCCCACTGTGACACACCCATTTCCGCTGGGAGAAGGAGAGAGGATGCTTCAAAATAGCCAGCATGACTGTTGGGATATTTCAGCCACCTAGATGTATATATAGAATGGATAGAGCCAGCTTCCTCAGGGTGCACCAGATTACCTTGTCCTTCACTCACTGATCCACTTTAGAAAATGTGGCCAGTTAAGTCTTGAGCAAGACTAACATGAGTGGCTCAATTTCGTTTCCTGTCTCTCTGGTTGGCCAGGCTGAGGATCTGATGTGTCTTCTCTTCCCCAGGATGCTGTTTCCCCAGACTTCAGAGAGCCCCATCATAATGTATGTTTTTAGTAGCCCTAAGGGCTCCAGCTAGCTTCCCAGCTGTCTTCAGAGCACTTCCTGAAACATTTCTTGTCAGTTTCCTTTAAGAATGGAAGTAGTTGGAATCCAAACTGCTTGCCTTCATTTAGCTAAAAATCAGATCGGGATCATCAACTATTGTGTGTGAGGTGTCTACAGGGTGATCTTTCTTGAAATTAAAACCTTTCTGGGAGAATTAGTTCCTTATTCTTTCTAGGAAATTCCTGCTCTTATCTATAGGATTACACTTCTGATAAGATCCAACTCTAGATGCTTCTGTTGCTTGGTGCTTTTATGAGCCTTTTGATGTCCCCTTTTCATATTAAGTACATTAACAGCGTTCACACCCTTCCTGGATATCAAGCAAATGGCCTTTTGTTGCTAACTGACTCTGGAATTAAGCAGCCTTGAACAGTGACAGAGACAGGCTACCCTTCCCAAAAGGAACAGGTGACAAAATTTACCTGCCTTTGGGAAAAAGCATCCATGCACTGACCTGTCTTGTGGTTTTCTTTGTTGGTGCTGGAAATGAAATCCAGGGCCTCTCCTTTATTTTTTTATTTTATTTTTTTATTTTCCTTCATTTTTTTAGTTGTCAATGGACTTTATTTTATTTTTATGTGGTGTTGAGAATCGAACCCAGGACCTCACTCATGCTAGGCAAGTGCTCAACCCCTAGGCTGAGCTACAACCCCAGCCCTGATCTTGTTTTTGGTACTGAAGATGAAATCCAGGGCTGCTCTGCCACTGAGCTACCTTTCTGTCCCTTTTATATTTTTATTTTAAGAGTTTCGCTAAGTTGCTGAGGCTGGTTTCAAACTTGCAATCCTCCTGCCTCAGCCTCCCGAATCGTTTTCCCCCTTTTTAGGAGACAGAGTTTTTGCTATATTGCCCAGGTTGGCCCCTAAGTCCTTGGCTCAAGTGATTTTCCCACCTCAGCCTCCAGAGTAGCTGGGACCACCAGTGCATGACACACTGCTCAGTGGTCAATTGATTTCTCAATTTCTCATTTATTTTCAATTTGAGTTTGCGACTGCCAATGGATTTTCTTTTTTCAAGGAAACAACTGTATACACTATTTTGTTTTCTCCGAACCACAACTATGTTCAATAGCCTGGAAAAAACATCGAAAGCATTCACCACCTGATTTGTATGTGGGCATGAAAAGCAGAAATGTGTGTTCTCCTTTTCTGTTTCGATAACTTTGTTTCTGGCTTGTCATTCATGACACGAGAGCGCTAAGTTTTGAGTCTAAGAGATGTTTTTTTTTTCTTTTTTTTCCTTTCAATGCTGGGGGGTGGAACTATATATATATATATATATATATATATATATATATATATATATATATATATATGGTTTTTAGTTGTAGATGGACACAATATCTTTATTTTATTTATTTTTATGTGGTGCTAAGGATCGAACCCAGTGCCTCATGTGTGCTAGGCAAGCACTCTATCACTGAGCCGCAACCCCAGTGTCTCCCCTCCCCTGGACCAAGGGTATTTGCATGCTAAGCAAAGCACTCTGCCACTGAGCAACAGCTCCAGCCAGGAAACTTTTTTTTTTTAATTTGGTACCAGGAATCAAAACCAGGGGTACTTACACTGAGCCACATCGCCAACCCTTTTTTAAAAATATTTTTTTATTTTGAGACAGGGTCTCAGTAAGTCGATTAGGGCCTTGCTAAGTTGCTGAGGCTGGCTTTGAACTCACAATCCTCCAGCCTCAGCCTCCTGAGCTGCTGGGATTAGAGGCATGTGCCACCATGCCTGGCCCTTAGATCTTTTTTTAAGGGAGGGTGCAGTGCTTAGAATATCGTAGGCATCCCTAGCATGAGGAAACAGAGATCTTGAGCACCTGTGCTAAAAATCCGAATTGTAGCTAGGGGAAGACTTGATGTCCAGGGAGGGGATTTTATTTTATTTATTCTTTTTTTTTTGGTGGTGGTACTGGGGATTGAAGCCAGGGGTGCTAAACACCCCCAGCACTCCTTTTCCCGGACTCCTTAGTTTTTGAGACAGGATCTGGCTGTGTTGCTGAGGCTGGTCTTAAACTTATGATCCTCTTTCCTCAGCTCCTGAGAAGGTGGGCTAAAAGAAGTGTGCAACCACTCCCAGCTTCTTTCATTCTATAAGGGGCTTTTAGGTGTTATTAGTATTTCCAGTCCTTCAAATGGCACATTTAGTTTGTAACATGGTCCCTTATGCAAAGATGAGAGCAATGGATTGATGGTCACCAGAGCTGCTGTCGCCAGATGGGGTGACAGAAGCTCCTCCCCCAAGATCTTTATTGCCAGTGCCCCGTGCCTGAACTTCCCTTTTTATTTATCGAAATCCTGGAATCCTAGTTGCTTTTTGCCCACTCTATGTGAGAGTGAGTCATTTCCTTCTTTTAGCCCGATCACTACTCAGCTATGAGTCAGTAGGGTGTGGGGTACATTGTAGCACCTCTAAGGGATTTATCCTGTTCAGATAAGTAATGGGGCAGTAGAATTATCAGTATCCTGTAACCACAGCTGACTTCAGAACTCATTTGCTTCTCTCTTCCCTTCCTGTTTTCTACCCATATTCCTATCATATGGCTCCCAACTGGGGCCACTCAGGACAGGCCTACTTGGAACTTACAGTTATCAAGTTCTTTTTATTCTTCTGAATCCTCCTTTATATCTCCCCATCATTACAACTTCCATCCATCTTTCAGCCCTCCTCATGCCTCTCCTAATCTCACCTGGACTGCTTCCTAACCTCTGCCAGAGGCACAGAACTTGAATCTGGAAGATCTTGGAAGATCTTTTCTTTTCCCATGCTGGGGATGGAATCCAGGGCCTTGCTCATACTAATGTTCTCTACCACTGAGCTCCACCCCAGCCCTGTTTTTTTTTTTTTTTTTAATTGAGATACAATTGACATTATTAAGTGGACAGATATTAAGTGACCAGTTACATGAGTTTTTATCATTCTCTACATCCATGAACCACACACCTACCATGAGGATACAAAATACTTCTAGCCTCCCAGAAAGTTCCATTGTACCCTTTTCCAGCAAAATCACTCCTCCCACAACACACACACATCTCAGAGACAACCACTAATCTGATTTCTGGAATTAGAAAATTAGTTTTGCCTATAAAAGAATGGAACATAAATGCAGAGTATGTACTCCGGAGCAAAAGAAGTCAGAGACAACATAAGGTTTTTGGGATCTGTGTTGATTTGTGTGATAACCCTTTGGCTCTTATTTCTGAGTAATACACCATTAGATAATATGTTGGAGGAGTCAGATTATTATGATTTTACACATACATCTATATAGATCTCTCTCTTTTTTTTTTTTTTTTGAGGCAGTCTCCCTAGGTTGCTTACAGCCTCACACCTCACGAAGTTGCTGAGGCTGGCATCGAACCTGCATGATCCTCCAGCATCTGCCTCCTAAGCCATGGGGATTATAGGAATG